CACAGCTCACTTGGTACATCCGGCTTTCGTGTGAGTTTTAGGGACTCACACTTGTGCAGGGAGTCATCTTCCAGCCCACACACAGGTTCAGGAACAGGAAACGGTGGGGAGAGACTGTGCTTCCCGCCTTTGCTGGCATCCCGAGCTGTGAGGCCTTGATGCCTGGGATCCTCGAAGCTGAGGCCGACTGAAGCCCCTCACAGAATTGGTGGGTGGGGAGGTGGCTCAGTCAGCCGGGCGCCGTGGCATGCACCTAGGATCGCAGGGCCTGTCAGGTAGAAACTGGAGGTTCCCTGAGCGTACTGGTCAACCAGTCTAGCCAAACTGGTGAGCTCCAGGTCAAGTGAGACAGGGCAGCCAGGTGTGCTGGCGCACACACTCGGGAGGCAGGGGCAGGCGGATCTCTGTGAGTTCGAGGCCAGCCTGGTCTACAAAGAGAGTTCCAGGACAGCCTCCCAAAACCCTACAGAGAAACCCTGTCTCAAAAAAACAAAAACCAAACCAAACAAACCACAAAACCAAGACAATTCCCCCAAAGTCGTGTCCTCAGGCTGTCTGATCACAGTAACTCCTCATTAAGGAATTCCTTCTCAGATAACTCCAGCTAAGGTTGAAAAGTCCCTCAGGCTGGGGGGGGGGTACATGCCTTTAATTTCAGCACTCCCTCCCTCCAGGCAGAAGTCTGTGTTTGAGGCCAACCTGGTCCACAGAGTGAGTTCCTGGACCGTAGGTCTACAAAGAGAAACCCTGTCTCGAAAAGAAAGAAAAGAAAAGGTCCCTCAGACCTTGAATCTAACTGCCATGGAAGCTCTCCCACCTACCCCCACCCTCATCCCCTGCCCCCGAGAAGACCTTCTCCCTCTAGATAATCCTTCCTAGAAATACCTCACAGACCTGCCCAAATCTAATTAAACTGACAATCAGGATTAAGTATGATACACGTGTTCATGTGCCCCCCCCAATAGATTGCTCAACACGGCAGGTGCTTAAGAAACGGCAACTCTTCTTAAATCTGCTTTTGGCTCACATTCTTAAATATATAAAACAGTTTCTTCCTGGTGTCCTGGAATGCACACCTTTCTCTCTTGAAGTCTCTGTTTCATTTTATTTTTGCTAGGGTTGGAACTTCAGGCCCTGTACACACTAGGCACACACTATCCAGTCCTCTCTCTTTATACCCTAAAGGGCAATGACAGTCAGCATTCATCTGGAGACAGTTCTAGAGAGTTGTGCTTTACAGAGTCCTGAGGGGAGACGACGGAACCCCACAGAAGCAGGGATTTCATGGCAGCAAGTGCCAGTGAGCCTCCTGTCTCTTCATGAGAGCCTCCTGTGTCTGCATGCATGCTCGTGCCCAAGTGCAAGTGTGTGCTGATACACACACACACACACACCACACACACACACACTCACACACACCACACACACACCACACACACACACTCACACACACACACACACCACACACACACACTCACACCACACACACCACACACACACACACTCACACACACACACCACACACACACACCACACACACATACACACACCACACACACACACCACACACACACCACACACACACTCACACACACCACACACACACACACACCACACACACCACACACACACACCACACACACACACACCACACACACACCACACACACACACACTCATACACACACACACACTCACACACCACACACACACACCACACACACACACTCACACACACACACACCACACACACACACACCACACACACACCACACACACACACACCACACACACACTCACACACACACCACACACACACCACACACACACACCACACACATACACACACACACCACACACACACACACACACACACTCACTCAGTGATAGGGTTACAGACACCTGCCTGGACTTGTTCTTGGGCTTGTGTGGCAAATGTCCTTAACCACTAAGCAATCTCTCAAGCCACCAGAGGTCACAGTCTGAAGGAGCAGGGCCAGGTATCAGCAAGTCACAATGTGATGCTCAGAGCTGCCAAGAAACGTCAGCCGCAAGCCCTGAGAGACACTTCTAAGAAGGTCACTTGGCAAGAAGCTCTGGAGGCCCGGGTCTGTAAGGCCAGGAAGGCTCTTGGAGTCCACTCCTGGCAGCCCGCAGACCCTGCTTTGCCAGACTCCATGGGAAGCCCCCGCCTCCTCATGGCATGGACTGGAAAGATAGCAGGAAGGAAATGTGGACTTCGGAGTCAGGGGGCCCTGGGTCCCAATGCCAGATCCCCAGGCATCAGCCACGTGACCTTGGTCATGTAGAACCTGGGGAGACACAGCTCACTCAGTGACAGAATTAGATCGCCGTTACCCTGCCTCTCCTGAGGCCCTGCGAGTTAATGGAATGTCATGGGTGACCGGGCTGGGAGCGATGGCCTCCCAGCAAAGGCAGGGTCCTGTGCTCTGAGGAACCGCAGCCTAACATGGCTGCTTTGAGTGCTGGGCCTCTGATTTCACACAGAAATTAGGCTGTTGGTACACCATCAAGGCTGGGCGATACCCTGTCCTCGTGGCTTGCTGTGACACTGTCGAGTTCTTAGACACATTGGCAGACATTCAGGTCTATGCCCAGAGCTCTCTGAGTGGGCGTTTTGAAGTTGAAGCCATTTAGACACCTGAGGCCTGGCGCTGTCGCAGATTCTTCCATTACCGACGGCAATGTGCAGGTCAGGGGTGTCTCCACGCCCCATCGTGGGAAAGGAGAGTGAGAAGGGGAGGGGACTGGCCTCCAAGTCTGTCCAAAGCGGCAGGCCACAGGCAAGGCCCCCAGGCCTTGTGCAGCAGGAAGGGCAGCCTGAATGGCAGGCCTGGCTGAGGTGTATTATCTCCTCTTGGGACAGTCTCAGACAGTCTGTACCTCAGTTAATTGGCAGGTACCGTCACCTGCTGGGCATGGTGACTCACGCCTTTAATTCCGTCACTTTGGAGGCAGAGACAAGCAGATCTCTGTGAGTATGAAGCCGACCTGGTCTACAGAGCGAGTTTCAGGACTGTTACACAGAGGAACCCTGTCTGGGGGAGGGGAAGAATGCCATCACACCTGTCTTTCTGAGCTGCTGAACAAGTGAAGGCTGAGCCACACCCGGTACAGCCTGACCTTGGTTAGAGAGGGATGCAGGGATTTACGGGAGAGCAGGCAGGGAGGAAGAAAAGCGGGACTCTGATCAGGGTCAGTACCCTTAGCACCTCTGCTCTGCTCAGAGCTGGTGCGTTTTCCCCTCTGCCTACAGCAAACTGTGGCAAAGCCTCCCCACTCCAGGGAACCTCAGTTCAAAAGTCATGGCTTCGATGTGGTCGCACATGTCTTTAATCCTAGCAATCAAGAGGTAGAGGCAGGTGGATCTCGGTGAGTTTGAGGCCAGTCTGATCTCTATAGAGTTTCAGGCCATCCAGAGCTATATAGTAAGAGCCTGCCTCGAACACACACACACACACACACACACCTTAGAACCTTCCCTAGCAATTCCGACTAGACAACATCTCTCTTCCCACCGCCAGCAAGATTCCTGCTTTCGATTGTCAAATGATCACCCTGTGTGAGATGCAGCATCTGGGAAAGAGACAGTCCCTTCTCTGCACATCAGAGAGGCAAGGGACATAAGGAGAAGAGAATCTAGCCCAAGAGTCCATATCAGGGCCGGGCAAAGGCTCAGGTGAAGGTTGAAGGGCATTTCAGTTGGGGGAACTCACACAGGTCTTAGTTTCAGAAAACCAGGAGTTGGGGAGATAGAGATCTGGGGGATGAAGGCAGTAGAGGGATGATGAAGGGAGTCAACCAGAAAGAGGCTGTTCTCTTAATATGTGACATGTGTCTCTTGGTGTATGCCTGTGTCTGTGTGCCAGTTTGTCTGTGAGGTTTTTTAGAGGGGGGTGGTTTTTCGAGACAGGGTTTCTCTGTATTGTTTTGGAGGCTGTCCTGGAACTCTCTCTGTAAACCAAGCTGGCCTTGAACTCACAGAGATCCGCCTGCCTTTGCCTCCCAAGTGCTGGGATTAAAGGTGTGTGCCACCAACGCCCAGCTTGTCTGTGAGTTTTATATATGTTTATGTGTGTCAAGTTGGGTGCTTGTGTGGATAGGTGTTTGCATGTGTGTGCTCATGTGTGTTTTGTGTGTGTGTATGTATGTGTGTGTGTGTATTTTTATTTGTGTTTGTTTTGAGACATGCACTAGGAAGCACAGGCTGGCCTCAGACATATGGCAATCTCCCAAGTGCTGGAGTTCAAGGGGTTCGCAGCTGCACCCAGCTTTATTATGGGTTATGAAGCCATGTAACCAGGAGTGCCTAGCAGGTCAGCTCAGTAAGGAGGCTGTTTCAGGCCTGAGGCCCAGTCTGCTCTCCCGCCTTGCTTCTTCCTGGGACAGGGCCGGTGCCCTGAGGAGTCACTGCTGCTCCCTGCCTTCTCTCTGTCTGCTCCTGCCTGTCTCAGGCTGTGCTGTCTGATCTTGAGTCATGGCGGGACACGCATCCGGGCAGTTCAGCTCACCAAGCAGCAGGCCCAGAGGTGTTGAGCCTTATGTTCTGGAAGTCCCAGTCAACTCCGCCTTCCTTGTGATATCTGCCCTGCTCTATTTACTCCATGAGTGGTGGGGATGGGAGACACTGCTGGGGAGGGGAGGCGGACGGGGGTGGATGGACGGACAGACGGACGGACTGCACCTGGTCTGCAAGTCATATCCGACGCAGCCACGGATCACAGTGACTACATTCAGTACCGCTCATCATTCAGCCATGTTGTATGGCCACCGAGCGGGGATGAAGCCTGGAGAGCAAGGCTCTGCCCTACCCAGTGTCTACAGGATCTAGACTCTCAGAAGAGCCACCTTGTGGACAATTAAGTCACTGTGGCATGGGAAGACAGGGCACGGAGCACTTACGCTTTTGACCTAGAAGTGGCGTGGGTCAGTGCCAGTTGTAGCTGATGGGCCAACGCTAGTCCATTAGTCAGAGGTCAGGGCTACGGAAGACGGAAACGCCTGTGTGTGCTCACTGGGTAAACAGAGCCTGTGCAGCCTGGTCAAGTGCCGCATTAGAGACAGGTCAGTTCTTGCCTGGAAACTGGGTGATGGAGGGCATGGGGGACACGGCAACACCTTCTTAGTTGCCTCTGCCCTCCCTCTGTTCCCTGGCCCCAGAGGACAGCATGTGGGACACTGCCTCCGTGGGATGGGGGATGGTTAAAAAAAGGCAATGTAGATGAAGGAAAACGGTGACTCGGTGACTCGCCGTGGTGCCACTCAGGGGCCTGAAACACCTGAGCAGCCTGTGCTTTCAGCCTCACACACCGTCTGCAACAGACGTTCTTCCGTGCAGACTGGATGGAAGCTCCCAGTTTGGGACTTGCTCAACCTGACTCCAGGTTCCTCTGGGGACATGGTGCGTGACAGGTGGGAGGCAATGGTAGCCTCAGGGCCTGGGGACGCAGTAGGTATCTAAGCTCTCCACCTTGCTTCTGGGCATCTCTGGAACCTGGAGTGAGAAAGGCCATTATCTGCTTGGAGGGCTAGCAGGGCTTGGGTTGTGTTAGATTTAACAGGGAAGTCTGCAAATATACACAAAGGCCCCATCCTTGTGTGTGTGTGTGTGTGTGTAATCCCTGAGGCTAATAATGGTTCATGAGAAAAGGCATCTCCCAAGAGCTGAGAGCCTGGTCTCCTTCCATCCCCAGTCACCCTTGTCCCTTATGGATTTGTAACTCCTTTTACATGAAACACCAGGTTACACACACACACACACACACACACACACACCAGAATTCTTGTGAACAGGAGATATTTAGGAAATCGGGACTGAATCAGAGACCCCTTTTGAAGGCTCTGTGGCAGGTCCTGGAACACACATCACTGACTCACTGTAATGCACTCAGCTTTTACCTTCTGTCTAGATTTGGAGGCAGGCTTTCTTTGTGTAACAGCTCTAACTGTCCTGGAACTCCATTTGTAGACCAGGCTGGCCTCACAGAGTTCTCCTGTCTCTGCCTACTGAATGCTGGGATTAAAGGCATGTTCCCCCACTCCCGGCTCACCTATAGTCTTAAAAAAACATAATTAGCCAGGCACGATGGCTCACACCTTTAATTCCAGCACTCAGGAGGCAAAGGCAGGAAGATCTCTGTGAATTGGAGCAGCCTGGTCAACATAAGGAACAAGCTCCAGGACTACACAGAGAAACCCTGTCTCAAAACCAAACAAAAACAAAAAGAAGAAAAAGAGGAGTAGGGGGAGGTATTGAGGGTTTGGGGCTAGCTGATTCAGAGGGTTCTATGACCTCTGCTGGCCTCCCTGGACACCGTGGTGTACAGACAGACACACAGACGATACACCCATACACATAAAATGAAAAGGGAATAAAATTTCCTGGAGCTGGAGTTAGAGGAGACTGTAAACCATCCAGTGTGGATACTGCGAACAAGTAAGTCCCCTGCAAGAGCAGCAGGAATGCCGGGCGTTGGTGGCACATGCCTTTAATCCCAGCACTCGGGAGGCAGAGGCAGGCAGATCTCTGTGAGTTCGAGACCAGGCTGGACCGACAGCCTCCAAAACAATACAGAGAAACCCTGTCTCATAAAAACAAAACAAAAAACAAAAACAAAAGAACAGCAGGAATGCTCTTAACCACGGAGCCATCTCTCCAGCCCCAATAATAATTAAAAATCAGTGTGGCAGCTGGATGGAAAAATGTTCTTGGCCTGTATTTAGATGTCATCAACCCTGCAGTTGAAAAAGCAGATGTCTCTACTATAGTTGTTCTAGACGTAATGAAGACTTTCAAATAGCTGAGTCAAAACAGTTTTTCAATTTAAATTAATTAAAATAAAAAAATTACTTCAAGCTAGTATCCAAGCACTCAGGACACAGAGGTGAATTAAAAAAAAAAAAAAGAAAAAGAAATAAGAAGATGTTTGAAACCTAACAAGAGGCAGGCTGATATTTGCATTCAAGGCTAGACTGATCTACAGAGTTCCAGGTCAGCTAGGGCTACATACTGTAACCTTATCTAAATAATTTCTGTAATGTCATGCGTTCCATGAGTGCAGGTGGCTGGCTGGTGGGGGGGGGGGCTTGGTCACTGGTGTCCCCACCCCATCCCATCCCTGCATGGAGACCTGTCTGACCACTACTTGCTCAACCCTACCCTGAATGACCAATGAATGCATCGAATCCAGCATGCCCCAAACTGCCCTCCTGAATCCGACACCACTGGTGCAGCAAGGCCTGTCTTCATTTTTGTTTTTGATTTTTTTCGAGACAGGGTTTCTCTGTATTGTTTTGGAGGCTGTCGGTCCAGCCGGGCCTCGAACTCACAGAGATCCGCCTGCCTCTGCCTCCGGAGTGCTGGGATTAAAGGCGTGTGCCACCACCGCCCGGTGGCCTGTCTTCATCTTAGTTTTTGTTTTTGTTTTTTGATTTTCGAGACAGGGTTTCTCTGTGGCTTTGGAGGCTGTCCTGGAACTCACTTGGTAGTCCAGGCTGGTCTGGAACTTACAGAGATCCGCCCGCCTCTGCCTCCCGAGTGCTGGGATTAAAGGCGTGCACCACCACCGCCCGGCTGTCTTCATCTTAGTTAATGGGCCTGAGAGGCCTGGCTTGCTCTCCCAAGCACGCGGTCCCAATCCCAACCTTAAACGAGGCTACAAACACAGCTCTGTCTTCTTCCTGCCTTCCTTGAGCTTTCATCGTCTCTACCCTTATTACATGTTTCACTTCTGCTGTTTTATTATAGTTTTCGAGACAGGGTTTGTCTGTGTATCCCTGGCTGTCCTGGAACTCACTCTGTAAAGCAGGGTGGCTTCGAACTCAGAGATCCACCTGCCTCTGCGTCTCCAGTGCTGGGATTAAAGGCAAGGGCCACCACAACAGGTCTATTCTGCTGTTTCACCCCACCCCACCCCACCCCACCCCCCTCGCAAGTTCTAGGAAAGAAAGGACTTGTGTGTTTGCTTTGTAGCAATAATGTGTTAAGTCAAGGGCTCACTCCCTGGCTCACCTTAACTTTGGGTGATGCTCTTGCCTCTGACTTTCAGGTGGGGAGAACACGCTCAACTAATCCAGGACAGTTACCCCTGTCCGAAGCGGTGAAACCTGAGATTGGGAAGCCCAGCCGCTGTCTGGGGAGCGGGCATCCTGCGTGGACACTGGGACTTGACTATTAGCACACAAGGTGCGGGCAGGGACTGACCGCCCGGCATCCAAGGCTGCTGGGGCGCTTCCTGATGGATCTGTGCTCTCCTGGCAGCTGGGAAGGAGCGGGGTGGCTTTGACCACAACTGCTGCTGGGCCAGAGAATCCTGGAGAAAGGAATGGCGCTCACCAATGGACGCCAGCAACAGGGTTGTTTGGATGCTGCTAAGTGACCAGAAACGAGAGAAGTCTACATGTAAAGAGGAGCTGCCCACCCCAACCCCCCACCCGCAGGAGGGCAGGGTGGCCCAGGGCAAGCGCGCTCCCCGAGATGCGCGCTCTGGCGTCGGGACTCCTTCGTTGGGGACCTGGTTTACAAAGGCTAGCCCAGCCTTGCCCCGGGGTGTCTGCGACGGGCCACCGAGTGGGTCCCCGACCAATGAACCCCAACTTTAAAGAGCCGTGGCTCCAGGGGTCCCAAGTAACCCCGGCTTCCGTGGGTCCCAGGCTCTCCGCCGCCTGCCCCGGGAGGCCTTTTCTTTCTTTCGGCCGAGAAGGCGGGGTCATCTACCGCGAAGACGAAAATCTTTCCAGGAAGTTTGTACCTATTAATATTCCAGTTCCTGGCAGCAGCTCTCCGCGCCGGGGAGGGGGCAGGGCGGACCCTGCAGCTGCTTCTGCAGCCGAGTGTCCACCGCTGGCCCGAGGCAAGCGGCGGAGGGGTAGCTCCTAGGTCCCACGCTCACGGCGGGAGCAGGACCTGCTCCGATGCTCAAGGCGCCAGAGCCCCGAGGCTAGCCCGCGAGCGGCGCGCGGTGGGACCCGGAGGATCCCGAGGCCGAGACGAAACCAAGAGCTGGGACGCGGGAGGGGGATGGGAGAAGGACAGGAGGGATCCGTGCCTCGGAGCGGGTTGTGGGTCAACCAGAGGCCGGCACTTGGGCTGCGCCTCTCCCCCAAAAGAAAACTGGTCCGGGAAGCAGGAGCCCTCGAGGAGCGGGAGACCGCGAGCCCCAGGGCCCTGGAGAGGCTGGGACCCTGGTTCTGACCTTGCTATGGTAACACAGCCGTAGGGCGCTGCAGCAGAAATTTGATATTTGAAAGCTTATGGGCTCCTCGCCACCACCTTGCATGACTGTCATTATCTCCGATCACAGACGGAGAAATTGGAGCTCACGAGTAGCTAAGGGACTGGCGCGCTGGAGGTCGTAGTGTTGTTCGCCACCGCACGGTCCTGTGTGAGGCCGGATCTCCTAGAAGGAAGCGCAGCTGTTGGCCCGCAGTAGCGGCCAGCAGACTCCTCAGCTCAGGGAACCGCAGGACCCACCCGGAGCCTGCCGGATTTGCAGAAGCTCTTTCAGGGCGCAAGTGCCCGCTCAGTCTTTCTATCTGGCCACATGTGGGACATAAGCCACTTGTCGAAGCACCCGAGTGTGTAACACCGCTGGGCTTCTGTAGATAAGCCTTCTGACCTGGGCTGGTCCGGTGCTAACTGACCCCGAGGATGAATTTAATTAAGTTCCTATGTCGCACTGTCTTCCTCAGCATTCTAGAGTCGTTTGCAAGGCACGAAGGCAATCCTCCTGTCCAGGACGGTCAAACCTACCCTGTGCAGGGACTCTGTCCAGCTCTGTATAACCTGTCCAGCCACTAGGTCACCAGTGCTGAGACAGGAAAGGACAAAGGTGTCCTTTGTCCCGTCCCCCCCCCCAAACGCGAGCCTCCAGCCTTCAGGGGCTCTGGGTAGCCCAGGACCCATCTGTGCCTCCCAGATGACCCTCACCAGTGGGCCTGCGAGGAGGCTGGAACAGAATTTGGTATTTTAAGGTAGGGTTTGCCAACTAGGAAGTCTTCCCATAGCCCTTCTCCTGGGAAAAAAATCCTCAAAGGCCAAGTCCCCAGTGGAATGTGAGACCCACCACGGGTGGCCTCTCTTCTGTCTCCTTTGAGTGCCCGGTGTGGAGACCTCTCCTGGACTATTAGCCATCAGCAGGAGGTATCTTCTGGAACCAGAAGTCAGCAAACACGGCCGCCTTCTCAGCTCTCAGCCTTGTCTGAAGCATTATTTCTTTCGGCTTCTGTTTTCCTTCACACTCAGAAGGTGCAAGGAGGAGAAGGCCCTGTCACACAAATGCTCTGGGTTCAGCTTGGGTGAGCCAGGAAACCCATCACCTTCCCTTTGGGCTGCAGAACCCTGCTAGGTTGCCATGCACATGTCCCGGGAACAACGAGGCAGCATCAGCTATTTCAATGCAGAGCTAGGCACACAATCCTTGCTAAAAATAAATACAAAGGAAAACCCCAAAGTAGCTAAGCCTATTTCCATACCTTGTATTTATTGATTTTTCCCTTGCTTGGGGCTCTTTTGTCTTTCTCTTGTTACTTGGTGGTGGCTGGTTTTTCTCCCAGCCAACCCTGGATGTGGTGGGAGCCCCACTCCAGGTCCTGGACACGAAGCCATAGGCAGAAGCGGAGGGGAGAAAGGGGTGATCTAAGGACCATTTCTTTGAGTGAAATTCACATTAGGTGGGATGGTGAACCCCTTTCAGAGAGAGACTGGGGGAGCTCAGGGGTGAGGACCTCCCTCCCACCGTACAGCCCTTCTATGGAGAAGGTTTTGGGGTTTTTTGGGGGGGTGTTGTTTGTTTTTTCGAGACAGGGTTTCTCTGTGGCTTTGAAGGCTGTGCTGGAACTAGCTCTTGTAGACCAGCCTGGTCTCAAACTCACAGCAAAGGGAGTTTTCATTTATTTATTTTTATTTTATACACATTGGTGTTTTGCCTGCAAGTATGTATTCTCAAATCAGATCCCCTGGAACAGGAGTTACAGTCAGCTGTGAGCTGTCATGCGGGTGCTAGGAATTGAACCCGGGTCCTCTCAAAGAGCAGCCAGTGCTCTTAACCGCTGAGCCATCTCTCCAGCTCCTGGGGAAAGGAGTCTTGTAAGGCAGGGCATGAAGAATGCCTCACCCCACAGCAGAGGACAAATCTGAGTTTCTTTGGGCTCCTTGGGGCATCACCTCATCACTTTAGAAACCAAAGTGACAAACATCTGTGAGGACCCCTCTCCCTTTGTGGGGACTCATCTACTGAGGGGCAGGAGTGAAGATTTTTCTCTGCCAGCTCTCCTCACTTCCTGCAGGCCTCAGACCAGGCCAGGAGCCAGAACTGCTCCCAGCACTGGCTTGTTGGGAACTTGCGAGTTCCACTCCTGCTGAAACGTGGCATTCACGCTTTTCTTGTCTGTTTCACTACTGCTGAGCCCACAGTGCCTTGGCACCCACCCTGGGAAGACAGAAATGAGCTTCTCCCAGCAGGGAGGGGACCTGGAAACCGGTGAATGCTGGCAGTATCCCAGGTGCCCTAGACTGGAAGACACCGTTGAAAGGGAGCAGAGGGCCCAATCTGGGCAGGGAGCTGGGGGGCAGAACTGGTCTCTGAGGATGGATGGGGGCAGCTCCAGCTTCCCTCTGTGTCCCCTAGTCCTGCTACAGTGAGCTGGCTTCCACAGAACACCACCCACCATTACACTCTGGTGTCTTCTCAAGGGTTAGGGTGTCACTCTGTTGTGATTCTCCAGTCCCCATTTATGTACTTAAGTATATATAGAGATTTGGGGGCTAGAGAGTTGACTCAAGGGTTAAGAGCACTGGTTGAGCTTCTAGGGGACCGGGGTACAATTTGCAGCACCCATATGATGGTCCACAAGTATATTCACCTCCTGCTCCAGGAGACCAGGTGCCCTCTTCTGGCCTCTTTGGGCACTGCATGTATGTAGTACACATAAGGCAAAATAAAAAACCACCACCAACAACAAAAATACACATACAATAAAATGTTTTCTCTTTCTTTTCTTCTTCTTTTTGAAACAGGGTTTCTTTGTGTAGACCTGGCTATCTTAAAACTCGCTCTGTAAACCAGACTGGCTTTGAACTCATAGAGATCCACCTGCCTCTGTACCCATACTGTTGTGATTAAAGGCGTGGGCCACCACTGCCCAGAATTATCTTGTTTTTCAAGACAGGGTCTCGCCGGGCGTTGGTGGCGCACGCCTTTAATCCCAGCACTTGGGAGGCAGAGGCCGGCGGATCTCTGTGAGTTCGAGGCCAGCCTGGTCTACAAAGTGAGTTCCAGGACAGCCGCCAAAGCTACAGAGAAACCCTGTCTCGAAAAACAAAACAAAAAAAAAGGACAGGGTCTCATGTTGCCCAGATACTCATTATATTGCTGCTGATGACATTGAAGTTGCAGTCCTCTTGCCTCTACCCCCAAGGGCTAGGAATACCCATGCATACCACCACGCCTGGCTTTTACAATGACTTTGCCTACATACCGGTTGGGTAAGTTACACAGTCACTTAGTTCAGAGTTCTTCCTTTGTGGGGCTGGGTTGGAATTCGGGTCCTCTTGAATGCTAGGCAGTCAGTTTACCCTGGGGCTATCCCGGAGCCCAGGAGTTCATAATGGAAAAGGGCAGAAGGGAGCCAGCCAAGGTATTTTTGGTTCCAGCTGCACACAAGGCTGGGTCCTCGAGAGCTTGAGACCAGCACAGGGCAATGGAGCAAGACCCCAGCTTTTGGTGGTGGTATCTTCCGCACTTTTGCTTATTTTGTCTCTGTTGGGTGCGCCGGTGTGCCACGGCATGTATGTAGAGGCAGGGGGATGACTGTGGACATCAGTCCAAGGGATCACACTCAGTCTTCATGGCGCACACTGCCCCCTACTGAGCCGTCTCACCAGTTCTGGTCATTTACAGTGTTTTTGTTTGTTTTGAGACTAGGGAATCTTCCTTCATGACCCAGGCTGGCCTTGAACTTGCTACAATCCCCCAGCCTCAGCTTCCCCAGTGTCATTCTTCCTTTGAGGAAGTCCAACAAGGTCCTGGCACGTGCTAGACAAGTGCCCCACCAATTCTAGGTCCTGGCTCCTAAGTAAATGAAAGAGGGGAGGGGCATTTGAGGACAACCGGAACCACCCTGCACCTCCACCCCTACCCCTAGCATCTGGCTGGCTGGGTCTGGGAAAACAGGTTCCGTACAGTGTTCCAACTGAGAGGTTTTGGCTCCCAGATATGCAGAGGGCATTTCTACACCCATGGGGTAAGGAAGCACCTGCCAGGGACACCTCCAGCCCCAGGATTGGAGGGGACTGCCTCAGGACACTGGCTTGATAGCCCAGAGCAATGACAACCAAGACCAGAGGAGGGGAGGGTTAGATTGGGTCCCAGGGTGGGGCTAGCTGACCAGGACAAGTACTGACGACCTGGGTTCATCGGCTCATATCTGGAAAGCCAAAGGCTCTCTTTTCTTTTAAAGGGAGTATTGTTTCTTTCTGGGTTTCCCCAGCTCTCTCTGTCACAAGACCGACTTGAAACCTCAGCAGTTAGAAAACACTGTTCTGGGTCTCATTGACTGGTTCCCCACAGCTGCAGAGCTCTGAGGGCCCAGCCCTGTCTGTTGGGGAGGGCTCTCACCATTTGGGCTGGGGGGAAATGCCAGTTGTGCTGTGAGTGACACAGAGGTTGCTAGTATTTGTGGGGATCTGGGTCTGAGCAGGGGCCTGTCCTCTCTGGATGGGCCGAAGCTCTGATGGTTAACAGGGAGGTGATGGGAAGGAACCAGATCTTTCGTCCTGGGTCAGGATGACCTCCGTCCGGGTTTAGGGGGATGAATCTACTGTCCTGGGGGGTGGGAGTTTTGGTATCCGTCTCTCCTCTGACCTCATACTGCTGCCTGCTAGGCTGAGGAAGGGAGGAAAGGAAAAAGGTGGTCTTTGGGGAAAGCAGTTTTTTGTTTTGTTTTGTTTTATTGAGACAGGGTTTCTCTGTGAAACAGTACTGGGCTGTTCTGGAACTCACTCTGTAGACCAGGCTGGTCTCAGACTCACAGAGATCCACCTGCCTCTGCCTCTCAAGTGCAAGCACTAGGATTAAATGCATGTGCCACCACGGCCAGACTGAGAAAAACAGGTTTTACCTCAAAGGGAGGATCTTGAGGCTAGACCCTGCCTGGAAGGATGCAGTTTTGGAAGTAGATCGTGGCCTTCCTCATGTGGAAGGCTTCTATTGTATTCTGGGGAGGGCTGAGTTTCTAGCATTAAGCAAGTGCTCCTGGCTGTGATGAGGCAGGACCAGCTCGGGGCCACCTTCAGGGAAGGCCTTTAGAGACTGTGAGGTCACCACCTGAGGAGGTCTGGAAGGGCTTTTTCTTCACGCCCTGGCTTACCAGAGATTGAAGCTTTCAATCAGCTGCCGGCCACACCTCCATTTATGCCCCCAGGGTGAGCCATCCTCCCCACAGTCCTCCCAGGGTCTCCCTCTACCCTCCTGGGGGTAGAGGGACTGTCCTGTCTGGGGGACATCAAGTAAAACTGTAAAGGGTGAGCCCCTCCTGTGTGGAAGTAGTATGGGCCACTAAGCTCTGTCTTTGGCTTCTACCTTTTCCTGGTGTGACTTGGGGCGAGCTACATTTGTCCACTGGCTTTGAGGACCTGAAAATCTCACAAAGCCAGCGGGTGAGATGGCTCCGAGGATAAAGGAGAGGGACGGAAGTCAAGCCTGAGAGCCTGAGCTGACCCCTGGAAGCTACATGGTAGGAGGAGAGAACCGACTGCTGGGAGGGAGTCGTCTTCTGAGCGCCACACTCAGCTGTAACGCACCTTCCCCTTCCCACATGGTGCACCACACGCAACCGCACACGCGCTCTAAATAAAACGCGTACGATTTCACAACGTAGTTTTTCATTGTGTGTGTGTGTCTGTAAAGGTGCCAGGAGGCCAAAGAGTGTCAAAACCCCTGGAATTGGAGTGACAACCACTCAGCGTGGGTACTGGGAACCTAACTCAGGTCCTCTGCAAGGGCAGCAAGGGCTGAGCCATCTCTCCAGGTCCCCAGCCCCGCCCCCTGCTCTGCCCAAGCACTGAGTGTGGGGCCTGGAGCTTCACACATGGTAGGCATGAGCTCTGCATCCCCAGCACCAGCCCAGCTCCCTTTCCTTTTTCCCTTCACATTTACCTATGTGTACATGTGTGTGTGTACATGTGTGTGTACATGCATCTGCATAGCATTCGTGTAGAGGTCAGCGGACAACCTGAGGGAGTTGGTTCTCTCTTCCTACCATGTGAGTATGAGGACTGCACTCGGGCTTGGTGACAAGTGCCCTACAGAGTCAACTTACCTCCCATCACGTTGTTTATTTTGAGATAGGAGCACACTAAGTTGTCCAACCTGGCCTTGAACTCGGCCTGTCGCCCAGATAGGCCTCCAGAATAGCTCATGTGACAGGCCTGGGTCACCAGTGATATTTCCTCAAGAAAGGTCCTTTGCAGGCAATTTGGCTTCAACTAGCAGGACCAGATTCCGGAAGTGAAGGCTTCATTTGAGTCTCAAGCTCCCTTAGTTTTTCTTTTCTTAAGGCAGGGATCTTACCTAGGCCAGGTTGGCCTTGAATTCTCTATAACGCCAAAGCCAAAGACTGCCTTAAATTTTGGAGACTCCCGCCCCCTCCTTTCAAGTGCTAACTTTCCCCTCTCACCTCCTCTGTCACTTTGAAAGGACTTCCAGGCAGCAGATGAACAACAGTGGTTTCTGCTGACGGACAGGGTTGGGAGGCATGGCCTGAGCAGGAGTTCCCTTGGAGGCATGAAACCCAGCTGCCAGTGTCCTCCAGGACCCAGAGAGGTGCCCCCCGCCCAGGGCTGAGTAAGGCTATGGACAGGTGTGGGTGGGAGGACGGACGCCATCGGAAGTAGACCTCAAAAGCTGCAGGGACGATGATGGAAGCCTGAACCCCACGTCTGGCCAGAGCCACAGTCTGGGAGGCTGAAGGACCGTACCGTTATGAACCACACAGATCAGCCATAGAATCCTGCTTACGGAGTGGAGGTGGCGGTGAGCTGGAGGAGCCCCAGGCTGGGTGGAACAGAAACTTGACTCTGTGCTAGGGTGGATCAGAGGGAGCAGGAGCCACGCAGGCCCAGGGCGCCTTTGCGGTACAGGGTGGCTGCTGGCACTGTCCTAGCTTGTTACTACAGTGCCTGAGCCAGTCACCCAGTAAGAGAGAAGGTTCCCTCTGGCTCACAGCCTCAGAGGTTTCTGTCCGTGATCAGCTGACCCAGCCGCTCCCAAGCTCCACTGTAGTGGTCCATCAGGGCAGAAGGGTTTGGTGGATGAAAGCCAAGCGCGTCTCAGGGAAGAGGGGGATGGGATTCCACGACCGGATTCTCGGTGCCCAAATCACCGCCCCCCTCTTCATGGATGTAACACCTCCCAGTGGCACCAAACTGGGGCCAAGCCTTCCATACATGGGGTACACTGATTCAAACCACATCAGCTCTGTAGCACCAGTGTAATTTTTACAGAAGAATCATATCCAAATCCCTGGCTAGCCTGGTGGGAGAGTGATTTGCCTGCATCTTACTCGCTGAGACATTTTACATTTATTATTTTTTTCCCATGCAGGTTTACATACGGGCAGGACAGGATTCTTACTGAAAAGAAAGGTGGGCTTCATGTGGTTGCCATGAGCAGACAAGATCTCAGCCTGGGGAAAGGAGTGCACTAGGACCTAGAGGCTCTCGGCTCCCACCGTCTTTGACACGTAAAAGGCCCTCGTTAAGTCCCCGCTGGGAGCCTCCAAGGGTCTCCAGGCCACCTCTACCCTACTGCCCGCTGGAGGGAGCCTCGGAATCGTACCCCATTACCCAGGCGGTGCTCGCTGTCACCGCCAGAGACCCAGTTCAAGTAGGGCCAGCACCTGGTGGAGGTCACACAGTGACCCAACTGTGTTCTCGGGCTGGTGGTCCCTGTTGGCTCGGGTTCTGGAGAGGGCCTTTGCGATGGCCCCCTCCACAGCGCCAGATCACTTGGCCACCCTGTTCAGGGGCACCGTGTGGCTGGGCCGGGTCTGATCTCCCTGCAGCACCCTGGCCTGGGTCCCGTGCACGGGGCGGAGGTCCCACTCGTGGCGGCGCTCGTGCGCCCTCTGGTGGCCATCTTGGGAGCCTGGGGCGCAGAGTTTCCAGACCGCAAAGGGCGGGGTGACCCAGATCCACAGACCCACTGAGTCTCCTTGTTTGCAAAAAGGAAGCATGCTTTCGTTGACACTTAAGTTCCTGGAAGCCAATGGGGGAACACCTGGGTCACCAAATGGGCGAGGAGTGCCCCCGAGGCCTGTGCCCTGGGAGGAACGGGCGGGGACCGCGCACCCATGGAAATGGTGGCTATTGTGCTGGTGTCGCAACCTACTCCCGAGCCGTGGGTCTGCCACTGGATGCCGCGCACCCTGGTGGGAGGCCTGAGGCCAGCAGGTCGAAGTGGAAGAGCCCCCAGTCACTGTTGGGGACACCGATGACCGCTGCTGGTCCCCCTTTCAAATTCTCCCTTGTTTACCGAACTTATCAGAGGCTGCAGATCAATACAGTTCGGTTCTTGAAATGTGGCAGGGACTCCGCTGTGCTGTCCTGGCAACCCGGGAGGACCACTCTACCCAGGCACAATCTTGAGCTGAGACCCTTAACCCAGTCAGACCCAGGCAACCTCCCGCGTGCTGCTGCTGCCACCGCTGCCACCGCGGGGCTGCGGGAGGGAGGTGGGAGGACGGGAGCTGCGGGGTGGCGATGGGGTGGGGGTGGGGGGCTGACCTTAGTCCCGCTTCTGCTGGGGACCTTTAAGGAAGGGAGCTAGCTGGGGAGCGAGCCTCAGGAGAGTCCACTCTACAGTACCTGCTGTCTGATGGAGTGGGTCCTTAGCTTCAGCTGGGCAGGGAGGACGGGTGGTTTGAGTCTGCAGGAATCTTGAGGCCCACAGAGCAAGGAGAGTCCCTAGGAGGAGCAGGCATTCTGCCTTGTATGGCTGGAAAGAAGGCTGGTTAGGTGGGGAGGAATGTGAGGAGGCTGGGTAATATAACAAATGAAGTTTGTTTTTAGAATTCTGGAGGCTGAGGGGGTCTAGGGAGTGTAGCTCCATTGGTAAAGCGCGTGTCTAACATGCAGGAAGCCCCGGGTTTGTGTAAAATCAGACGCCATGGTGCACATCTGTCATCCCAGCACGGGGCAGGTGGAGACAGGAGGATCAGAAGATCAAGGCCATCCTTGGTAACAGTAAGAGTCAGCCTGGGCTATGTGACCCTGTCTCAAAACCAAACCAAACCATTGTGGAGGTTGGGAAGGCTGAGATCGAGACCTGGTGGGATTTGGTGTCTGGGGAGGCTCTGTGTGCCCTCCTATGATGACACTACGTTGTTTCATCCTCCAGAGGAGACATCTGCTTGTCCTCACATGGAGGGGGGTGTGGAGGACAAAAGGCTGCTTCCTCCAACCTCTGGCTCTTCTAGAAAGACCCCAATCCTATTGGGGAGGGATCCCCGAGACACTACCTGACACTGTGGAGCTGAGACATCATTATCCAAACTGTAGACATTTCCCTCGGAGGCAGCCCATCTGAGGATGAGACTGCATGAAATGAGTTCCAGAGTGAACCACGCACTTACAGCGACAGTCATGTCCAGTTAACTTGTCCCAGCACATATTATGATGAAATGGGCCAGGCAGTTATCCCCAGAAGGGCTTGCTGAAGGGAAAGTGGCCTGCCACTCAGCGGAGTGTCTCCTCTAGATCCAATGCTGGAGTTGGTCCTGGGCTGTTGGTGCTCTTTGGGGAAATAGTGGAATCTTTAGTAGATAGGACCTCGCTGGAGAAAGTGGGTTATTTGGGGGCAGGGTGCCTTTGGAGGTGATAGAGTTCCTGTCCCTTCCTGTCCCTACCCTCCATCTACCTAGAAGTAAACAACCTGAATCCTGCACACCGCCCATTGCTGACATGCTCTGCCTTCACTGGGACCCAGAACTGATGGGATTGATGCGCTGAAATAAGTCCTTCAGCAGACCCCTTCCCCCCTCCCCAGATGGGGCTTCTCTGTGTAGTCCTGGCTGTCGTGGAACTCACTTTGTAGACCAGGCTGGCCTCGAACTCACAGAGATCCACCTGCCTCTGCCTCCCGAGTGCTGGGATTAAAGGCGTGCACCACCAGACCTTCGTTCCGGTGCTTTCTCACAACTAACCATCACAGTCTGCAGAGTCTGGGACAGCACAGGTGGGAGCCACTTGGCTTCCTGGGTCCCCATCTACCTAGAGGACACAGCACAGAGCAGTTGTCTTCCACGGCGTGGAAACTGCTTTAGTGAGTCACAGCCTGACCGAGCGCTGGTCCTGATGCTGCTCCTGCCGTGCAGTGGTGCTGTCTTGCTTATGTGGCCTGTGGCCTTTTATGCTGACCAAGCGGTGCTACTCGCTGGTGTCACTTGTGACATCAGGAAGGGCCACACACCTGGCTTCAGCTCCAGAGGTCTGGGCAGTGGAAAGCAAACGAGAGGCTCAGGGAACTGCCCAGAATTCCAAAGAAAGTGTGGATGGCACTAGGTATGGTGATGCTGCCCTTAATCCCAGCACTCAGGAGACACAGAGAGGCAGATCTCCGTGAGTTCAAGGCCAGCCACACAGTGGTCTACACAGCGGTCTACACAGCGGTCTACACAGCGAGTTCCAGGAGACACAGAGAGGCAGATCTCCGTGAGTTCAAGGCCAGCCACACAGTGGTCTACACAGCGGTCTACACAGCGAGTTCCAGGAGACACAGAGAGGCAGATCTCCGTGAGTTCAAGGCCAGCCACACAGTGGTCTACACAGCGGTCTACACAGTGGTCCACACAGCGGTCTACACAGTGGTCTACACAGCGGTCTACACAGCGAGTTCCAGGAGAGCAAGGGCTACAAAGAAATGCCTGTCAAAAAACAAAACCCCACAAAGAACAAAAAGCAAACAAATAAGAATGGATCCATGTAAGCACTGTGGTTTGGAGGGAGAGAAAGGGGAGACAGTGTCATAGCTCAAACGGGCCTGGAACTCAACTATGTGGCCCCAGGAGCCTGGCACTGAAGACAATCCTCCTGCTTCAGCTTTCTGAATGCTGGCGTTACAGATGTGAACCACCATGTCTGGTTTACATTGTCCTTCAATGTGATTGGTGGAAGTTCCTCTAGTGCAGGGTAGGGTACCACAGAATGGACATCAGCGTTAGCTGGACATTTGTGTTGTTTCCCTGTGCTGCGTCGTGAACAACAGAGACTCTTTGCTGTTTTGTTTTTTGAGGCAGGATCTCACTGTGTAGCCAAGGCTGGCTTCAAACTTTCTACCCTGCCTCAGCCTCCAGAGTACTGAGATTATAGACGTGAACCAAAGCTCATCTTTGTTTGTTTGTTTGTTTTTTGTTTTACGAGACAGGGTTTCCTGTATTGTTTTGGAGGCTGTTGGTCCAGCCCAGCCTCGAACTCACAGAGATCCGCCTGCCTCTGCCTCCCGAGTGCCTGGATTAAAGGCGTGCGCCACCACCGCCCGGCCCAAAGCTCATCTTAGGTGCTGTGTTGCACATACATTTGAGTGCGGGTCTGGGGCCTGCGGGGCAGTACTCTGAGGCTGTGCTGTGCCATCTGAAGGTGTGCTATTTGGTGTTGGTCAGGCATCTGGCACTGTGTGATGAGCTGGGTGCTGGGTGAGAGACTGGGCTGTGGACTGGAGGCGCAAAATTTCAAAGGACAGCACAGTGTGGTAGCATCTTGTGATTGCACCACTCAAGAGGAAGATCGTGAATGTGAGGCTAGCCTGGGCTATATACTGAGAGCTTGTCTCAAAGAGGGAGGGAGGGGGAGGAGGGGGAGAAGGGCTCACTGACAGACCTGAGCACTTATTGCCAACCCTGAACCCAGGACCCACACAATAGAAGAGAGAACCATGCCCTGTAAGTTGTCCTTTGACCTCCACTATTCAGCGGTGAGTGCCTTTGCCCCACATAAATAAATGAAGATTTTAGAAAGGGAAACGAGACCAAGTAAGTCCTTGCATATCCAAATATGTCCACTAGGTGGAACCAAAGCTAATAAGATCGCTTTCTGAGGCGAACTCCCAAAAAGAGCGAACAAGGTCTGACCCCTGCGCTCCTGAAGCTCGGGATGGAAACCTGGCTGGACCGCATACAGTTCTGAGAGGTTGAGACTTGGGGAGCATGGCGGCTGCAGATGGTCACACAGGCTGTGTCCGGGCCAGAGATGGGGCCGGAATGCAGCTTGTGGCACAGACTGCAACAGCCCAGGGGGGCTACAATGTCTTTCTAATCTGCACAGGTTCAGAGAGTGCTCCCACAGAGGAAGGGTAGGAACCTGCAAATCTGGGAGGGGCAGGGAATATGGGCACCACGGTTGACCTCGGCAGAGGAGTCAGCAGCCGCAGAAACAAAACGCAGGGCCAGCTGGAAGACCCGCCATGTCGGGCATGAAGGCTCAAGGATGACGCTGTAGATCCCCTTGCTCCAGATGGAGTGTGCTGTGTGGAAAACTGGAAAGACTAGGTGGACACCAGGCAGGGTACAGGTACTGAGGCAAGAAATGATTTGAAATCCTTTAAATCCTCACCCACATAAGGGCCTATCTTTGTCTCCGTGTATCTCAGAAAGGAGCAGCTGCAGTCACTAACTACAAAGCCAGCCGTGTTGTTCAGCCACACACACACACACACACACACACACACACACACACACACACACACACACACACGCAGGGCCCACACTGAAAGGTGTCTCAGGCTCCAAGCGCCAGAGACCAGGTTTGCAGAGCACTAGTTGCAGTGGTCTCAGTACATCCTACACTGTATGTGATCCCAAGACAGAGGGACAGAGGGGGAAAAAAAGGATGCTGGCAAACCAAAACAAACGCAGTGTCCCCCAAAGACAGCAGCACCCACTCTTACAGCATGGGCAGACAGTCCTCCACAGACCCTGGAGTCTGCTTCCTTCCCTTGGACCCGGGAGCTCGTGACTCAGTTGTGTGTGTTTTCTGATGGCAGGGACCCACATCCGAGGTTCATCGACCTGGGAGCCCCTGTGCACAGCCAGAGAAACCTAAGGTCTGGGTGAGGAGCTCAGAAAGCAGGACAGGGGACTGAGCCGACTTCCAGTGACTCCACTCTGGCCTTGAGCCATCCGAGCTTACAAAGCACAGCAGAGAGGAGCTCTCCCAGGCCATGCTGCCGCCACAGATTCATGAGTGAATCTCGTTAAGATACTATTTTTATTTCTCATTTTTCCGGGTGGAAATTGTTTCACAACACCTGTACTGATTAGTTCTTGTTAATTTGACAAACTAGGGTCACTGGGGAAGAGGGAACCTCCATTGAGGTTCCCTGACAGAGCCTGACAGGGAACCTGTGGGCGTATCTTGACTGATGATGGATGTGGACCGTGTCACCCCTGGGCAGGTGGCCCGGGTCGTACAAGCAAGCTGAGGAAGCCATGGAGAGCCAGCCAGCCAGTAGGCTATTGTCCCTGCTTAAGACTCCTGCCTCGCTTCCCTAGCTCATGGGCTGGGCTGTGGACGTGTAACCCAGACAAACCTTCGCTAAGTCGCTTTTGGTTATGGTGTTTGTCATAGCAATAAAGAGCAAACTAGACCGGAACCCGATAAACACAAGACCCAAAGTTCCTGGTGGCAAGTCATCTCTGTTTGCTTGGCCCTAGAAGGTTTCCGGGACTCAAGACTTGGGAGTGGCGGCACAGACCTGTAATCGTAGCTCTCAGAAGGGCGAGGCAGGAGCTATAGAGCAAGACTTTTTCCACTCCCCTGCTCAGAAGACGTTCAGTGCCTAGTGACAGAACACAGTGACTACCAGGCAGTACCAACAGAGAGGGGCTCCCAAGTCCAAGGGTGCCTCCGAGACGCCTGGGGCTTTCAGAAACACAGGCAGTGATGGCAGGCAGGCGTCGCACCCCAGAGTTTCTGGTTAGGTAAGGGTGGTGTCTGATGTTTCTCATTTCTAACAAGCTCGCCTTGTGGGCTGAAGCATGAACTTCCAGAAGGACTGGTCTCAATGCGATGCTGGGCCTGGTACCTTTGAGTTCCAAACTATTGCCGATCCCAGCATCTCCTCCAGAAACTGGCCCAGCGGGGTGGTGGCTTTTATTGTT